AAGTACATGTGAATTTTCGGGTGTTTGTTAGTGTTAGTAGTAATAGTAGTAGTAGTAGTAATAAATAACGCTTTACATATTTGGTGGGTGGCGTCATTTACGATTTGGATGTTTATGGGCTCCGGAAACCATTTAACATCAGGTGGGCTGTGAGCTCGTCCACCCATCAATGCGATAAAAAATTAAATAAAAAATTATTGTGCGCACAGGCCGCAAGCATTATGAAGTTCTTTAACAAAAAATAATTTTCAATAGTTTATGTTCAATATTCAATAGTTTTTTCATGTGCGCATTCTTTAGCAAAACTTATAATTAATTACATGTACACAATAATATGTATTTAATAAGAATTTTTAAAAAAAAAATAGGTTCTGGTGAAATTTTACCTTAACTGCAATACTTTTTTATGGTGTTAAGAGTGAATCATTCATTACTACAAATCTATGGTTTAGTACTAACAGACCGAGATGATGCTAGGCCATATAATCTTAATTGAAAATGGGAACATCTACAAACAGTTATAAAACCTAAAGGTAATTCATTTTTTCTACAACGGAAAGTGTGCGTTTACCCTTATAAAATAATATAAAAATTTAAACTTTAATTTAAAATTACCCTACAATCGTACCAATGTTATCTTAATAAATATTTAAATTTAATATGGACACCGACGTTGATATAAAATATTTGTCGTAATTTTGTCTGAGATCATATTACCGACTTTTTTTCCTACTTAATCTAGTAGCCTCGGGAGGTTATTCTAGATTCACCGAATCTGTAGGTGAGCTCACGGGGCTCAAGCCTGACGACGTTGCTAACACTAACCCTAGCAAAGCAAGAGCAGTGCTTCGCAGAATCTACCATCGGATCGGAAACGCGACCCACTGAGAAGATCCGGCGAGAAACTCAGTGGCCTGTGGGTTAATTTACTCGTCGAACCCTCCGTCGCAAGCAACGGGTTCGACGAGAACCATGACCGGTGCTTAAGGTACCTACCTAAAAGCACCGTTAGTGGATCGGGAGGATCCGAAATGACGTGTTTTGGGCGACGTCGACTGTTTACCGTTTGGTCTGCAGGATCGGGATTGTATTACCGACTATTAACTGTGGAATATACATGTTTATTGGTGAAACAGTCTAACTTAAAGATTTCGACAAGAAAGAAAAACTTGAGCTGGTTGGTTTAGAACTTCAGCAATGACGCTTCTCTGACTAAGAAAAATATAATATAACAGATAAATTTTTTTTTTACTAACTATATTCAAAATAAATAAGACACACACACATACACCGAGTGTTGTCTGATTTTACATTCGACTGTAATCTCTTCGTGATCTGGCAACGACTAAGGGGCCCTAGGCATTGACACTAAAGTGACCAATGAAAAAGACAGGCCTGCCCTTACGTTATGATCGCTATACATAAAAATGCGGTTCCCTGTAGACAAAAAAAACTGGTAGCTTTCGTCACGTTCATCTTTTCAACAGACCCCAAAGTACAACACAAAGGCATCACAAATATTATTGACATAAGTACTTTAGAAGAAAAAATAATAATAAATAAAAACTGTTGGTTGTGAGTAGTCAACGGTTTGTTAAATGGAGTCCATTTCCACCAAAAGTCGAATGTCGCCTTAGTAAGTATAGTTAAATTCAAGTCACATTGGAATAATTTTCCTTTCAAATTAGACATCAATTAGATTGAATTGGAATCTTTATTATATTTAAACTTTAAGAATTTCATTTCGTGGCGTTTCCAGTCGGGTAGCGTCATTCACGTTGTGATGCCCATGGACTCAGGTAACCACTAAACACCAAATGGGCTGTATCGAGTACCCTTGCACTTGACCATGCAAAAAAAAAGCAATATTAAAATGCTAACAGCATATTTAACAGAAGTTTTTATCTCTAAAATAGAGTCTACAGATAATCGTCGAATGACCGCCATGGAGTCATAAATTATTATTGTATGTTTTGATTAAAATGTTTACTTTGAAATTAATAGAATTATCTATATAATGTAATACAGTATTAGATGCAATTTACAATCAAACTGATTGATAGTAAATCGGTGATTTTGTTTGTTTGCATTGCATGTGGGTCTTTGGGAGTTGTTGGGCCGGTTCTAAAAATGATCACACTAAGAAAAGGTGGAATGATGATCGTGATGAGTTATAATGTGCTCACAAAATAATACAAAGTGTCCAGGCTTAATAGATGAAGTTTTTGAGGTATCCGTTGAATCATGCGATTATGCAGCACACATTATGGTACTGTCTTACTACTACTACTGTTCTTGAAAAATTACGAGGATGCATTAGTGTCATTAAAATGAAAACTGTATTTGTTTTGTATTTATTTAATAACTTATTTTAATGAAAAATCTTCTTATGAACTTGCATTCTTTTGAATTTTTTGGTATAAAACATTTTAAATTTATTTCCCAATGTGCTAAAGCTTTGAAATTTAAAACATAACTCTGAATTGGTTGTCAATGCATTATTAACTTGATTGAAATCACAACAGAACAAAAAGTGTCTTAAATATTGACTTTCTACATTAAGGAGCATAGAGATTAGCAATAAAAGTACTTCAAGCTTCCTGTCAGTTTAATCTATATGTAGAATGTAGTGACCAGGAGAATTCTATATCTAAATAAGTCCATAGTATTATTTTAGTTAGTTTTTGTTACACTAAATCTGCATAACAAATGAGCGAATGTAGAATCCATCTGTGTGTAATAATTTAAGTCTATTGTGTTATATAGAGGGGTTGCTACCCTTGACCTTCAGACACAGCCGCTTCGCCCCAGCACGCGAATTTAGGGTGCATGGAGTATACAGTTGCGTAATTTCACCATGGCAAGATCATAAATATATTATAAAATTATCGCCTTTCTCAAGTAGATATATTTTTTTGCTAAGGAAATTCAATCCTTAAAAAAATATGTTTCATTTCAGAAAAAGACAGATTGGTCGATGTTTACATTCTCTATGGTGTAGCAAATTTTTTTTCACAACCATTTGTATATTTTCACTAAGGGCCCATAGGGGCCAGACTTAATTTTTTTTTTCCTACCTATTCTAATGACCTCCATAGGTCATGCTAGATTCATTGAGCGAGAGAATTCATGATCGTAGTGATATTATATATGATTGTGATATCATATATGACTCCGACTTGAAATTGTGTTTAGTCTGAAAGTTAGACATTAGAAATTTTAATTGATTGATAATTGCTTCCAAGCCCAGAGTGAATCTCAACTGTTATCCTTCTCCTCTATCTAAGCTTTTAATAATGACCAGAACAATTAAGTTGCTATGTAATTACTGTGTACCCATTGTTACCACATAAAAATTAATTTGTAATGGAATATTTTATTTTAACTGATAGTGAATGATTTTCTTGAATCTCTGCAGTATATTATTAAGAGGTTTCCAGTAGAATCCAAGGATGCAAATTTCACCCCTTTAATAATCTTAATAGTTTTTTAATAAACTTTGTAAATCTTTACTGTGACACTGACAAATTACCTAACAACATAAAAAATACACTTTTAATTGATACCTGCCTCAAAAACAATCTACTTATTTAGCAACGGACACACGTAGAATTCTTTAAGGAATGTAATATTTAAAATATTTTACCATAAGCATGTTTGTAACTTGTTTTTTATTTTCACATATATTTATTCCTGGTGGCAGGGAGTATTGCACGCCCGCACAGGCAAATACCATCACCTACCTGTTTCTAACGTGAAGCAGCCATACTTTTTTCATTGAAACAACCGGGGCAGCTGTTATATGATACGATTGAGACTTGGATCTCATATCTCAAGGTTGAAAACGGCATCCACATTTTCATATATCTATTAAGTCTAGTAACTATTTAATATCAAGGGCACTGGTAGCTTGGTAACCAAGCTATGCAAGAAAAAGATAGTGAGAGTGAGTTGGTGAGATTGTATGTCTATCAACTGGGCAACTACATGAAAGTACTGGCCACCACCGCATTACTTCAAAGAAATTTTATAATAGTTTGATCTCGACTCAAGGTAACCAACTAAGACCAGGTTCTCCATGAGTCTATCCACCAATCCAAAGCAAATTATAAAGACAAATCTGAATTGGACTTAAGAAAAAAGAATATAATATAAAAACTACAGGAATTTTTCACACAAACGAATAGGTTAAGTGGATAACTTGTATTTCATAGCTGCAATTGACTATGTGCATTCATCCCAACTATACAACCTGACAAAATCTAATAAGAACTTGCTGTATTTTTTTGTGTACAAAATGGAACATGTTGGCCAACTAGATTTATTAACAAATGCTGTAGAATTAATAGATTTATTCTGTTATTTTTATTTAATATTATTATAAACTTATGCTTACAAACATGCACAATATGAAATAAAGTTTACTGTAAACTTCACACTGTTCAATAAATTATCATATTTAGACATTTTAATTTTTCTAATAACATATATTTAATCATACCTATCATTCGTGGTTTCACACTAAAATGCAATATTAGTAATATTATAAATTAGTCCTTGAACGTCAATAATGATCGAAATGGTAATTTTTCATATTAAATATACTTAAAAAATGAGCATTTTTAAAGAAGCAGATAGGAGTGCATTTTCATAATTTTCTTTAGTATCAATAATGAGTACAGTCTGCGTATTTATATGGTACCAAGAAACAAGTGGAGCATAACTTAATGCAGTGTAAACACTATCATAGTGACACAGTTGACCTACTTTGAATATAACTGTTTTGATTTGATTAAGAATCTAATAGTAATAGCATGTTTACTTTTTTACAAAGAGGTTTTTACTTTTCATGTTCTCGAGAAGTTAAGCAAAACAAAAATCCAGAAATTTCAGTTAGGGCCTCAAAAAAATCGTTACAAATCGTACTTTTATCTTAAATTATGAAGGTAGGTTCGTAGATTTTTATTTGAATTATGTTGTAGGGTGTAAAAAATACTCACCCTGCTGGTTTGAGCCATCCTTCTGTTTTTCGTCATTTGGTTTCTCCTTCAGTGAAGACAATAGGTTTACAGCTGACATAGCTAGCAATCTTCCTCACAAAGTTATTCAGTCTTCTTTCAATATATTAAATCTATTAAAATTCTTTAACAACTATACAATATTTACAAAATTGTTCATGAAACTAAACTATAGCCTAAAGTATTGTTTATATCACAGACTTTTCGTTTTTCAACAATACGGATCAAAACGTCCACGCACTTAAATACTTTCAATAATAATTATGTGACTCTAGATATAATAAAATTATTTACACATTAAAAACTAACGTTTACAATCTAATTTTAACAAATACGCTCTAGCGGTCACAAGATACTCATAACTAAAATAATTTATCAGTTTTCGATGCAAAAATATATAAAACGTCCGCCATATGCCTTTTGAAAATATAGATTAACCTGGTAAACTAAAAGTCAGTACCGAATACGTGTCCAGATAGAACACAAGAATACGTTTTATTTGATGAGGTTATATCCAGTTGCCACTACTTTTGTTTAGGGTCATTTTTTTGAGAATGTAACCAAATAAATTGTATACCTATTATATCGATCAAATATGTATGTTGTTACAACTTTATAAATATATTTAAATATTAAGCAGATCTAATTACCTACTAAAATATAAGATTCCGTAGAACAGTATTTATATATTTAACAAAAAAATAATCCAGTACTCTTACCTTACTCGTTCTCTATCATGAAAAGTGTTGTTATTCTGAAATGGTAAATGGACTTACGACCAATGCAGTGTTAAGCGGTTACCAAAGCCTTAGCAAGAGTGTGGAAAAATGATACAAAATCACGGAACATGGCTTTTCTAGTTCAGTTATAAAATCCTTTTATCTTTTAGATTACCACCATTTTATTGACTGATTTATTTCATCTCATCGAATATTTACAATGTTGTTTTATTTCACCTTGTAAGTTGTAATATTTCGTATCATTTAATATTTAGTTTGATTTCGTTCATTTCTGGTTTCTGGTTTTATACAATAAATATTCCGTTGGCCTTTGTTTTGAAAGATTGAACTCTATCAGCCTCATTTCCTTTGCATGTATAACAAATCAATCAAATAAAAATTATAATTGCCTAATGTCACTGATTGTGGCTCAATGACAGTATGACAGCGTTGTGTCCATTATTGTTGAAATGCTCACGGAAAATTATCAAAAATGGCATCAAAATGGACTAGACGTCGTAGTGAAGCCGGTATATTAAGAAAGAATGAAATCAATGAGAAAAAAGAAGAGTTACTCGTGTTCGGCTATTCATGCAAAATATTCAGGGACGATGACAAAGCTTTGTTCATTGACCAAGGGAAACACCTCATTCCGTGGATGGGGGATGAAACGTTGAAAATCGACAGGTTCGATCCGTTTTTTACTATCAGACTGCTAACTGTGGTGCTAAAACCATAAAAAACGATAATAATTTGTCAGAATGTAATAAAATTTTGGAAGACTTATAAGATTTTCGCAGAGGATGATGAGTAAAGCCTACAGCGGGACGGGACTTAGACAGGGGCGCGGGCCCGTCGTGGTGACGTCTTTTCTTATGGTGACACTCTCCGGTGGTATGTATAACTTACAACGGAATAATTGAGTATGTATAAAAATGTAATCTAATTGTTTCACATGCGAATGATGTTACCATAGTTTATTATTAAAATTTTGATTATGGTTACGTTGTATATGCTGTTTATAGTATTAAAAACGAAGTGTATTTAGTATAAATCTACAGTTGAAATAATTTATGTAATTTACCGGTAACAATGAAACTTCCAATGGATGTACTGAAAGCTAAAATGTCATTCAACATAGAAAATAAAGTTTGGATATTAAAAACCTCACATTATTTGCAGGTCTAATGACAAGATAGTCCATGGATTATCATGCTATTTATGTGAACAGGTATGATGCAAGAGGAGCCCTACACGATGTGTCAGCATTGGAAGCCCCGCCGGGAGGATACGACTGGCGGGTGGAGTTAACAAAATCTGAGCTTGATGTGGAGCAACTATGCGATGATGAACGTTACCGAGCTCTATACACAAATGAAGATGAAGAAGAAATGTACAAAGGTAAAAGCACCTTAGACATTATTTTGCAATGTCTTATCTGTATTGTTAATAAATTTGACTGCTATAGTATTTTAAGTTGTGAGTTGTATTCATAACCAATTTTATATATTTCTTACTTTTTATTACTTCTTGAAGTGTCTAAAGTTGTTTCCTGAGAGTACCAGAAGTACTGGAGGTAATAAGGGAGGCTACAGGACCATTTTACCTATTTTCTAATAGGTAAAAGACTCCATTATTTAAGACCATGGGTGGTAGGAATCTTACATCATATCACATCACAGTCTGCCTTTGAGGCAAGAAGGTTACAAACATAAAATCCTAAATGATTTTAAACAGAGGAAGAACTGAAGCGTCTCCATGCGGCTGGTTACGGACAAGTTGGTTTCAATTATGATACATTAGCTCCACCTAAGCCACCCGCGAAGCCAGTTGAGGTAGATGAACCATTTGTTCCGTCTTCAACTCTTGAAACTCTGCTACCTGAAGATATTGTTCTAGTAAGTATAATTTTATTAATTTCAATTGCTATTGAATCACAATAATTGGACAAGATAATGTTTACTATTAATGTCACATGATTCATTACATGTTTACTATAGAGTGCATTACTGTATTTACGTACAATATATGTAATAGTAAGTATACAGACATCATGTAAGAAGACAGAAGTGTTTTTTTTTTCTCTTTTGTTTTAATGTCTCGTAGCGATCTGTTTCAGTTAACAATGAGCTATTTCTTTGGCTGATTTTAATCTTAATAGTGATATAAGTAAAACAGAAGTGTAACACATAATATATTTCATCTGTTTGGTGCATTCTATCATTTATCAGAAATGGTACACCAAAACTATAAATAAAAATCATTTAATTCTTTTACTAGCCTGAGACACAAAAACTGAATGCCATCATAGAGAAGACAGCCAACTTTATAGCAAGTCAGGGTGTCCAGATGGAGATCCTCATCAAAGCCAAGCAGGGTGACAATCCTCAGTTCCAGTTCCTCAACAAAGACTCACCTTTGCACCCATATTATAGTGCGCTCATCGCACTCATCAAAGCCGGTAAATGGCCTGAGAAAAAAGTCGATTCTGTTGAAGGTGAGTCCTGTTTTTTTTATTACTTACTACAAAAAAAATCAATCAAAAAATAAATACATATTTAAAGATTACATTGCTTGTGGTATTTTTCAAATATATATTTTTTTTTTTATTTTTTTTTTATTGCTTAAGTGTTTGGACGAGCTCACAGCCCACCTGATGTTAAGTGGTTACTGGAGCCCATAGACATCTACAACGTAAATGCGCCACACACCTTGAGATATGTTCTAAGGTCTCAGTATAGTCACAACGCCCCTGCCCCACCCTTCAAACCGAAACGCATTACTGCTTCACGGCAGAAAGAGGCGGGGCGGTGGTACCTACCCGTGCGGACTCACAAGAGGTCTTACCACCAGTAATTACGCAAATTATAATTTTGCGGGTTTGATTTTTACTACACGATGTTATTCCTTCACCGTGGAAGTCAATCGTGAGCATTTGTTAAGTACGTATTTTATTAGAAAAATTGGTACCTACCTGCGGGATTCGAACACCGGTGCATCGCTAGATACGAATGCACCGGACGTCTTATCCTTTAGGCCACGACGACTTCAAAGTGCAGATCGAACTTACTCCAAAACCACTGAATTGACTTGGAAGATAGTATATTCCATAAACAGAAAACTGTGCATGATTCTAATTAAGAATCTATTCATGATATTGACTGATCTGTTGATTTTTTCTTTTATTACATGTTGACGGATTTTCATTATTTCATACAAAAGTTAATTATATAGCAATAGGGATACAGAATCCCTTTTCAATCGCAAACAAAACATGAAAACATATATGCGAGAGAAATTAGGATTTTAATATTCTAACTTCATAACAGTACCAGAGTGTTTCTTTTAATAATCGTCAGTAAATGAAAGCAGCTATTCTTTGTAACATTATAATAAGATTTGTTTCAAAATTAAAATATATTGTTCACTATAAGTTTTAAATTTACACAAATTACTTTTAAAACAAATAAAAGATAATTAAAATATGCCCAATTTTTTTCTTGTTATATTTAGAACTAGTTTTATGGTTTAATCTCCCATTTTTATTGTCCTTATATTATTTCTGATGTTTCAAACAAATTAACAGTTTTCGTGGTCACTAACGACTGAGCAATTATTCATTGATATTTGAATAATGTGTTTTGCGAAGTGTTAACAAGTAGTTTTAACTATATATTTTGATACCTAACAAAATACTGACTTCATATAAACTTATAATTTCAGAACGACCACCTGACAATGATGAATATCTCCATCCAAGCTTAGCATCAACCATAATTGAATCTGTAAGTGATATTTTAAGTTAACCAAACATTTTTACTTTCTTTAAATTTTTGTTCTGAAATAATTTATATTATCACCTTTCCACTACAAAATGTTGCCTGTGCCACTCTCTGGCCCATAAAACTATCTGGTCTAGTAGTAACTAAAGTAAGGCCAACCAGACGAGATAAAAAATGTAAACAAAGTTTCAGGAGTAAAAAACATTTTTATTTAAATAAATTATTACAAAGTTCGAATTTTAATCACTGTCATCTGTACTAGACAAAGATGATTCGTCGGAAGAGTCCGAGGCAGCTGTGCTTATGATAAAACTATCTATTGTATTATCAATCATGTTGTTAATATTGCTATAAAAATTGTCCTCGACTTTTATAACACTTCGAACGCAATCCAAACAGGAATAAACTTGTTCTCAAAATGGCGGACCAAATGTTGACAACTGCGGTACTCAGTGCTTTCCTGTACCACGAAACACACAACGACAGCTGTTGTCGACCAACTGACGCCGTACCTGCGCGTACGAGTGATAAGAACAGAGATAATAATCCCTCGCTATCGCAATGTAACTCAGTAACGGTCCGCTTGTTTACGTTTATTATCTCGTCTGGTTGGCCTAAGTATAGTCAATTTAAGTTGTTATACTTCAGCTATACCAAACGTGCAGGCGACGTTTGCCTACGTTTGCCGCTAGGGGCGCTGTTCCAACTGCATACAAAATTGAGTTAACTTTTACGCTATCGAGAACGTTAAAAACCTCGCACTATACACACAGGATACCACTCAAAAGACTTATCTTCCTTAAGGAGTAGGGAAATGTATTTGATGGTAATTTTACATGATACAGGCTCCATCGATTCCGAGCATCCAATACAAACCATCAGCGGACTGCGACTACACGATGCTGGTGTCCAGTCTGGTGGGGCCGCCGCCCGAGGAGCCTTGTCCCGGGGAGGAGCCCCCGCCTGGGACCGAAGTTTCTGCTCCGCATCCCCACATTTCCAAGGAACCCGTCATGTATAACACGCAAGGTATCTAGTTTATAGTATTTAAAATGATACAAGTATTTAGGCAATATCTGCCCTGTGTTGATCTACAATTTAGTAGTCGTCGTGGCCTAACGGATAAGACGTCCGGTGCATTCGTGTTGAAGCGATGCACCGGTGTTCGACTCCCGCAGGCGGGTACCAATTTTTCTAATGAAATACGTACTCAACAAATGTTGACGATTGACTTCCACGGTGAAGGAATAACATCGTGTAATAAAAATGAAACCCGCAAAATTATAATTTGCGTAATTACTGGTGGTAGGACCTCTTGTGAGTCCGCGCGGGTGGGTACCACCACCCTGCCTATTTCTGCCGTGAAGCAGTAATGCGTTGCGGTTTGAAGGGTGGGGCAGCCGTTGTAACTATACTGAGATCTTAGAACTTATATCACAAGGTGGGTGGCGCATTTACGTTGTGGATGTCTATGGGCTCCAGTAACCACTTAACACCAGGTGGGCTGTGAGCTCGACCACCCATCTAAGCAATAAAAAATAAAATAAAAAATGCTTTACCACCAGTAAATATGGTCTGCACCTTCATAGTTTAAAATTACATTATATATCTCTAAGTGAGATAAAATTTAATACTTATTTATATTGCAAATGTCATGTTTATTATGTATAAATATAATTAAAATTACACAGTAAGACAAAGGTTTCTAGAAGCAATTAATTTTGCAATTGTTTTTATTAATATTAGAAGTATTAATATCACAAAACCAATGCTGTATTCAGTAAGCTTCAGAGAATTATTGTGAGCATTATTATGGTTTGGATTGTTGAACTCGATTTTATGAGGTAAACACATTAATAGACTAAATCACCTTTTGCAACATAGGAACATCGGATCCAAGGCTACAAGCAGCACAGACAACGTACTACCAGCAGTACGCAGCGTACTACCACCAGTACATGGCGCAGGCTGAAGCACAAGCACGTGCGGAACAAAAAAAAGAAATCATCGTAACCAAATCTACTGGACTTAGTCTCATGAAGAACTATAACTCTGATTCCGGGTCCGACGATACTGGCGAGTAATTTTTATCTTATTTATTAAACCAAGCATCCATTGCCTAACCTATAGTAAATGTTAGAGAAAGATTGCATCCTACAAATTTTAATGTAATTTGCATTACAACTGAAATTTTCAGTTTTGATAGTTGTAAGATAATATAACAAGAATTGTAATGAATTTCTTCTTAAATACGTAAATAATTAACAACCTTTACGATGTCAAACTAATAAATAAAATACGATTTAAATGAACATTCGAAACATTATTATAATACAAATAATTTTCGGTTTTCGCCTCGAGAAGGCGCACATCATGGAACTCAACCAGAAACAATGAGTCGAATACATTTAAAGATTTCATATAGACCAGCACATCGCTGGGGGTATTGTTCTCAATGCCTAATTACCAACAACCCTTCTCATTATAGCCGATAATGATGGCTGATTGCAGAAAGAATAAAAAATAAAGAAAATAAATAATTTCTAATTTTTTATTTCATTCCATATTCAGATTCTGAAGATTCTTCGTCATCGGACAGTAAAGATCAAATAATATTGACGCCCCCGGAAGACGTTCAGACGGTGATCGACAAGATGGCCGCCTACGTTGCACGAAATGGCGACGAGTTCGCCGACATAGTGCGTTCGAAAAACGATCCCAGGTTCACGTTTCTGGAGCCCGATCACGAATACCATCCGTATTATAAAAGATTACTGCAGCAGAAGAAAGGCGTCGACGTGAATGGAAAGAAAAAGGACAAGAAGAATTCTTTGCCTGTTTCTTTTTCTATAAAGAAATTGAAAGAGCCCGATCCTATTTTACCGAAACCGGCTCTGCCTTACGAGTCGAGTACGGACGACGAGAACGAGGAGAAGCAAACGGAGAATCAGGAACACATTGAGCCAAAGGATCACACCAAATTAGTCGCTCAGACTCCAAGTGTGCTGCCGCCTATAGTAGTGTACAAGATGGACGGGTTAATCCACGATTTCCCCGTCGTCAGAACGATCGAGCCGGTCAAGCCGCCGACATCCCAAACAAGCCCACCGAAGCTCACGCCAGTCATACACGAAGTAAAAGAAATACCTAAAATAGATCCTCCCGGTCTCGTAGAGAAACCACAACTTGTCGGACCGGTAACTAATACTTATGTCAAGGAAAACACGCATAAAACAAGAGAAGATAACTCTGAACGTAGAAAAGAGAGAAAGAAAGATCGCAAGAAAGAATACAAGTCGAAATCTAGGAGTAGAAGTAGTAAGAGAAGAAGTCCGGTGAGGAATTCCGTGAAAGAGAAAAAACGGGAAAAAGATGAGAAAGTTAGTAGTAGTAAGAAGAGTGAACCGGTCAAGGAAAACTTTGAGACCGAAATTATTTCGCTAGAAGACAACGGAGATGATTTGATTGATCTCACAGGCGATCAGTCCGACAGCAAACGTAAGTTTCTAATGAAAATTAAACTTTAAAAAGTTAACAAACAAGTTGGGACGATTCTGAGGCCTGATTCTGAATCGGCGGTACACTTCTAGTGGGAAATATACTTTATCCTGGCCTACGTTTGGAATAAACAAAACTATTTTTATTTTATTTTATTGCTTACATGTGTGGACCAGCTCACAGCCCACCTGGTATTCAGTGGTTACTGGAGTCCATAGACATCTACAACGTAAATACCGCCACGCACTTTGAAACATAAGTTCCAAGGTCTCACATGTAACAGTACAACGGCTGTCCTGCCCTTAAAACCGAAACGCATTACTGCTTCACCTGGTGATGGTACCTACCCGCGCGGACTCACAAGACCACCAGTACTAATTTCATAAAATAGTGAGATAATATGATTAATGAACTAGGTACAATTCGATGATCTTGGTTGCTTCCCGCAGTGGAGGGCGAGGCGGAGCACGGGCGGGAGAGGCAGCGGGAGCGGCGGCGGCGCGCGGCCGAGTTCCTCAAGAAGGTGGGCGTGGACCCCGGGGCCGCCGCGCTGCCCACCTCCTCGCTGGCCAGCGCCATGGTAAACCTCACTGTTTTTTTGCTGCATAGATGTGTAGACTAGCTCAGCTGGTTACTGGAGCCCATAGATATAAATTTTTTTTCCTACCAATGCTGATAGAGGCTATTTCAGCTTCTTCTTAACGTGTAGGGGAACTCGGGGAGCTTAAAACGGAGTGTTGCTAACACTGGCCCTAGCAAGAGCCGTGCTTCGCAGAATCTACCACCGGATCGGAAACGCGACCCACTGAGAAGATCCGGCGAGAAACTCAGTGGGCTGTCTGTGGGTTGATTCGCTCGTCGAGCCCTTCGTCGCAAGCGACGGGTTCGACGAGGACGGCGACCGGTGCTTGTGGTGCCTAAAAGCACCGTTAATGGATCGGGAGGATCCGTAATGACGTGTTTTGGGCGATATCGACTGTTTACCATTCGGTCTACAGGATCGGGTATGATGGATATCTACAACGTAAATGCCGCCACCCACCTTGAGATATGAGTTCTAAGGTCTCAGTATAGTTACTCTGAATTCATCCTTCCATTGTATTCCTTTACTTAGTGTACACTGAGCAGCCACTGAAACATACAAGTAGGTTTAAAATGTTATCTTGAAAATTGTCGCACACATGAAATATTCGAAATGTCGACACAGACGGACCACAGTAAAGTCTGTAGAAGTCTGCTTATTGATTGCGTAAATTGAAATGTACAGCGTGCTTAGTGCGAGTTTCTTAACGTTCTCGATAGCGTAAAAGTTAACCCAATTTTGTATGCAGTTGGAACAGCGCCCCTAGCGGCAAACGTACGCAAACGATCCCATTCCATACAAATATGAGCTAACTTTTACACTGTCGAGAACGTTAAAAAACTAGCACTAAGCACACAGATTACTGGGTTTTTTTTTTTTTTTTTAATATTAGTTCTTCGCGGCAGAAGTAATATAATTGTGGACAGTCGTGCCGATTTGTAACGCGAAGTTAAAATTTAACAGGTTGATACGTTGGAGTCCTTGAAACGTAAGAAAGCGGAAGAAGAAGAAAAAAGACGGAGAAGAGAAAAGAGAAGACATCGAGAAAAATGTGAGCGTATATGTTTTATGTGTATATATAGATCAGCACGCGGCCGTCGCCCACGGCTTGGCCCACCTCAGTATTAAACGAAAACCCAGTCGCAATTTTACAGAACCTGTGCTATACTTCAAACATACAATAGTAACAGAAGTCTGCAATCTAAAGGTCATAAATAGTTTCGAATAAAATTTGCCTTTAGTTCACATATTCTTAAAACCCCGCTTATAGCGAGAGCCATCTCTTGGCGTGTAGCGGTTACTAACAAATACGACACTAACGCCATCTGTTAGACAACAGATGAACGACACAGAACGTTCGAAACGACTAGTAAAAATTGTACCGAAAAAAGGTAGCGATATAGTTATTTTTTTGTTAATGGCTCAGTAAGCGGACGAACATGCAGTCCATTTGGTGATAAGTGGTCACTGTTGCAGAATCCGGCAATGCAAAGTCAACCATACAATATTCTCGGATTTGAAAGTATATGCTTTTAAGATGATTGTGCAAAATCTTTGAGGTTTGAGGTATAACAAACATTGAACAAAAATAATTAAAACCTCTACTTACGTTTAAAGTCGGCTACAAAAAACAAATGCAAGTTTTAAAATTATTTAAATACAAGATAGTAATTAGTAAAAAAATCAAAGCAATTTTAATACAAACTAATATATAATTAGTCACTTGACCAAACGTAAAGGTGATGTTTCATTAAAAGCTAAACCAAAAATAAATTATTAAATTAAAACCTTATTCTTATTTACACCAAAGGATACAATAATTTTTAATGATCTTTTTCTTTTACTACAGATTACGACGATGAGTCTCAAAAAATGCATCATAAAAGCAAAAGAAGAAGGCGCAGGTTAGTTAGTGTTTCAATTCGTTAAAATGAGTTGTAAGATAATGAATGGCTCGTGAGTTGCGCTTTGAGACATGAGGTCAGAGTCTCCACGGCGGTTCATTAGAACACTTCAGAAATAACTATTTCTGGCAAAACTGTCCATTCAAGCTGCGCAGTGTCTTGTGACGTCATATGCCGCGCGTAGTGTCTTGTGACGTCATTGTAGACAGTGACGGTTAGAAACGGACAAAAACACATTTCTTTATTGAGAATATAGAGAAGGAGTGCGGAATAAGTTTTAATATTTTTTTAATTATCTCACACTACCATGTATTTGACACAATGAAGTAGGAAACCTATGGAAATGAAACGTCAACCAAAATTTCGTGCCACTGTGACGTCATCCGGCCACAAAACATGGCGGCTTTAGTGCTGTACAAAAGATTTCAATGTTATCAGGTTTTATCGATAATCGTTCTTGGCTCATTTTATTTTAAATATTGTTGAGTATTATTTATTTGTAGAATTTATACTTTAATGGGAAGTAAGTAGGTATATTGTTATGTGCAAATATGATATGATTTAGATGGGTGAAATCTAAGACAAGTTCGTCCTTCGAATTTGCCAAGTAAACGATATGATGATTTTTAAAAGTTGCTACACTGATTTTATAAAGTTGTCGTTTGTCGCAAAACATAAAGATATGGCGTAGTTCAAAGCCATCAGCCCATTTCTAGCATGCTAAATGTTATCGTATTTTGAGTACGTGTTTTTCTTAGACTATTACAATCTATTTTAATTGTTTTGCTGACTCTAAAGTCCGTAACATACTACCGCAGCGCACCCCAAGGAAGGTGCGCCGCACCATTTGAATCACTTTCGCTTGAGAGTGATTCAAATTTTAAACTTATCAAGGGACCGCGTGAAAAAAAAAACACCTACAGAACATTTATTCATTAATTACAAACGTCATTCCTTGTGACTTCCTCTCTAAAATCACTTAATTATTAAATATTTAACAAATTTACAATAGTGTTTTACTCACTGCGGAATAAAACTATTTTATTTAAATAGTTCCGAAGAGATTTTGTCGGTAGCCTTTTTCCCGAAATATCTAAACAGAATGTCTAAATATGTTTTGATGACATATTTTAAAGTGGTATTTATGATTAGTGTCATGATCAATAGATTCCGACCGAAAAATGGATTTTTCGGATGAGGGCTCCATAATGAATTTAAATACATATAGATAATAGTTTTAGGACATCGACTTTCTTGAGATCCTATAAAATACGTTTTAATTATTATTTTTGTATGTTTTAAGCATGATAAATTATGAAATTTTATATAATCAATCATATTAAATCGATATCATAGTCAATAAATAATGTACAACCCAAAACAGACGGCCGAACTGACGTGACAATGACATTTGGCGCGCTAAACATGGCGGATTTTCGGCCTCATTAGACGGAGACGGAGATATTTACGTATATTCATGTTTCATTTTATGTACGCACTGAAATACTGTTATATTGTTTTCCTGCGAGTTAAAGTGCTGAGTAAGAACGAGATAGATATATGTTTATGTATGTGCCTTCAAAATGGGTGCTATTTATATAAGCAATTGTACGTATAGAACAATATGTCGTGTCCCTACTATATAGGTCTATGATTTGACACAACACATATACTCTGTGTTAACTGTCAAACTTTTGTTATTGTTGAAAGTCTGTGGTCAAATTGAGAATAGCATAATATTATTTGTCTATAGTGTAGTCTTGGTGAAATCTGTAATTATAGAAGTATTATAAATAGTCATTGTCAATAGAACCATAATAATGTCCAAACTTATAATTTCAAATAACTATAGTCGAATTTCGACTACAGAAGTACATACAAATACTCATCAGTCGTTTATTAATGATTGAAATTAATTGTTTTTATTCCTTTGCAGATCGTCTGAAAGCGAAGACGCCGATAATGATGGGTGAGTTAAAACAATATCCGATCAATGACAATGTTCGAGAATTCAGTAAGTATTACCTGATCAAAGAACCATGAGGTCGGATGTCCGTTAAAAAACTCCATTTGCCTTATACACTATATTTTATATATCAATAATTATTGAAAGGAATTTTATTTTAAATTAGAATCTATTAATAAATGAAATGTTTTAAATTTCATTAACAGTTAAAACTTTTTGAATTTGATTGAATATCTTAAAAACTTTACTAAACGCATATAAAACTGTAGATAGGTCCCACTATCTAGCCTAATACTGCCGCGAAGCAGTTCGGATTTTCGGTTTGAAGGCATCCGTCTATATAATGAAATGCAAAATTCGACCTTATGTCTTAGCTGGTTTGCGCTACTCGTGTGGACGCCGGACCGACATCTACTTATCAACGAACACATCTATGTTATGCATCGTACAACATATTCATTGTGCATAACATATACAATATGCATAACATATTCAATATGCACAAAAAATTCAATATTATACTTAAACTAGCCGTACTCGCCCGCTTCGCGGGGCATTTACAGTTAACGTTATTATTTATTGTCATTATTATTAGGGAGTTCAACACTCATATAAATATTATCCATTAAGTACATGTATTTTCTACATGAATACCAAGCTTCAACTCAATCGGATGCAAGGTTCAGTAGTTATAACAGAACATCCGTAAAAACCACTATAGATTTATATATTAGTATAGATAACATGTTCAATAGACAACACATATTCAATATATACGAATTGAGTCAGTCACGTTCCACTGATTGCGGATCGCTAATTGTATGAAAAATATCGATTTCTTGAAATTAGTCGCGCGCCATCTGTCGCTCGGTGAAGGTACCATATTATAGTCCACCATATATAAACCATTGCCTTGTAAAGTTTCCAAACGTCCGTCCGTCCCGACAACTGGTGGTAGGACGTCTTGTGAGTCCGCGCGGTTAGGTACCTATTTCTGCCGTGAAGCAGTAATGCGTTTCGGTTTGAAGGGCGGGGTAGCCGTTGTAACTATACTGAGACCTTAGAACTTATATCTCAAGGTAGATGGCGCATTTACGTTGTAGATTAGCGGTCGGGGAACCGGGCTAAAATGAAAATTTGGGGGGTAAAAATGAAACTTTTGTGAGTAAAAAGTATATATTGAAGTGAAACTTCTTTAGAATCGTTGTGATTTCAAATTATCATGGGGGCTATAATATGAAAGATGCTAAAAGGAAGCGATTTCGTTTTTTTTTGTTATTTCGCCATGGGGTAATATCAACTTACACAAAAATATTTTGGAGTAATAATTAAAAAAGTTCCCCCACCGCTGTTGTAGATGGACTCCAGTAACCACTTAACACCAGGTGGGCTGTGAGCTCGCTCCACCCATCTATGCAATAAACAAAAAAAAAATCGCATTTATAAGTAATATCATCACCATTAAATTTCAGCTCGAAAAAGAAGAAGCGCAAGAAGGAAAAGAAACACGCCTCGAAAAGCAAGAAGAAGAGGAGAAAAGAAGAGGACGAGGACAGTGAGCAGAGGTTGCCGGACATTGACCTCACGCACACCCTCAAGGAGCTGCGGACCAACTCTCCGACCAAAGATTTGGTGCTTCAGAACTTGGAAGTGAACACGACCGCCAGACGGAACTCCGACGAGGACGTAGCTAAGAATAGAAAGAGAAAGAAAGACAGAGAGTACAGCGAGGGCGAGTGGTCCAGCGATAGTGAGGAAGATTCAAAGTCTTCGAAGAGTCAGCACGGATAATATTAAGTTTTATTTTTTTGTATCCATTGAAGATAACAATGATTGTCATTGTATTGTAATTATTATTAACTCTGTGAGTTTAGAAGCAACGATTCGCTTAGTTACTAGGCAGTGTGATTGTTCAAAATGATAATATCAAGAGATAAAAGGGTTAATTGGTTTAAGCTTAATACGCGACATTTATTTTTGTAATTAAATTTTGTTTTATTTGATACTAGCGACCCGCTCTCGCTTCGCTTCGGAAACATTAAATTTTATTATTTATATATAGTCCCGCGATGTTACCCGCGGTTATTGTCGTACCGCGGGTGAAGCCGCGGGACGAAGCTATTCTAAAAAAAGTAGCCTAAGTTTCTCCTTATATTATCATCAGCTACTAGGAGTGGGTGATATAAATCGTATATAGATTCAATATCTATATATCGCAGCAATATCGTTGAATCCGATATCGCCCCGCACGAAATCTATATATCGATATCAGCCGATACACGATATTGCTCGATGTGATGCGCATCGCCATATCGGACCGATTCGTGAATCGAAATCTATATTTCGATATCAGCCGATACACGATATTGCTCGATGTGATGCGCATCGNTGTCAATACAGATTGATTTGAATATAATCGTCTCCTTCAAAGAATACGGTTCAAAACCTGCATTAAATAAAGGTTAATACTTAACCTGTTATTTATCTAAGATGTCGTTCAGAAGAGTTTTGTGACTGCCAATGGAATACAAAGTCAATAATTCGTTTTTCTGATTTACCAATAATTGTCCAAAAGTCACATTGCCGGCTTTGATAATAGTCGACTCATATAATCTATCATCTGAAATCGATGCTTTTTCTGAGTTGTGTTAAAACTAATTACAGAAAGAAAAGTTCGTGTGAGTTATTTGAGATTGACCTTGTATTGACCGGGAATGTGTTGCTTACGACATGGGAGGTTGTTATGGGAGGGAACGAGCTCGGCCCACCTTCCGTAAAGTGGTCACACGTTGAAACGTAAACGCCGCCGTCTTGAGACATGAGGCCTCTGTCTCACGCATCAAACCGGAACGCGTCACTGCTATGCGTTAGAATTAACTACAATGGTACTACTTACTTGGGGGGGGGACTTGGGTGAGTGTCTTATTCGCCTTTGCAGCATTTTTTTTTTCTTTCGAGCCGGGCCTCGTCGATGTCGGCGTGAGCTCGTCTACGCAACTAAGAAAAAAAATTAAGACAATAGACCTCAAGACTCGAGCGGTAACCACTTAATGCTAGATAGACCGCAAGCTCGTTCATAGGTTTAAAATAAAAGATATTTCAACAAAAAGTTGTATTGTATTTTAATGCTATTTAATTAATTTTCTGTACAATTGATACGATAAAATAAATTAAAAATAATTCTTTTAACTAATGTTTTGTTTTTGATTCATGATTATCCTTAACTCTTTTATTTTAAGGTTCATTTTCCAAAACGTCATACTCGCTTGTATCAGTAAACAAAATGGAATCGATAACGTAAATATAAGCTGTGGTTTCGATTTTTTTAGGGTATATATATGTACCGATTTAAGTAATTAAATTTAAACATTTCTTAATCACTGTAGTTCATTTTTAATTAATAATTGAAAATCTCATCGCTCTTAAAGTTATGGCATCGTTAGTGGCATAATGAAAGTGGAGCTGTTGCCTCAAAAAAATATTAAACTAGTTTAATCAGTGTTACCCGTTCATTTATTAAATAATTTTTAAATAAATATGTACATACTTAATTTAATTATTAATTATTTTTTTCTAGGAGTAACTACAAATCCCTGAAAGCACTTTCAGATTGTTACATATTTAAAAGTAATTTAATTATGACTACGCTTTACACCGGTCACTCACATGCGCACGAATACGCAAACCCGCAAGTGTAGGACGACATTTGCAAATGATTATGCAAAGTTTTCGCTGCATTCGTGGTTTTCCAAACTGTGTCGGTTTTTTAACAGACATCAAAGCGCGCGAACCGCGAACCTTCGCGTAGTCTCCCACACATTCGCTTGCCCAGTTGCGACGACGATTGCGAAGGTAACGGACGTATCGCCATTTTCATAGTTCGTGACGTCTACTGTGTAGCGTATCTTCATCAAAAGAAATCCCATAAAAACAGCATGGCTGTTAATGTCTGGGAAAGAATTCAAAACTCTTTTTCTCTTCAATGTTCTATTGACGAATTAAAAAGGAGGAGAAATTCGTGAGACATTCGTAAACAAGTGTAGGAGGATACGCAAACGGGTTCGCAAATTGAGTATGCGAACCCATTTGCACAGCCGCTAGGTTTGCGAATGAATGTTTGACGGCCCTTCACATGCGCGCAAACATTCGTACAATGTACGAATATTTGCGCGCATGTCAGTGGCCGGCATTATGCTTTGAATTGAAATTAAAAAAGTGTTTTGGGGTTATCAATGACATAATAAAATTGTTTTAAATATTAAGTGTTATTTATTACCTATGCAATACTAACATTTGTGTTGTAACACAAAGTGAATAAAAATATAGACTAAAATTAACTAACTCAATGATGACCGACATTTAAGGACAGACAAAGGTTAAACAGATTTGATAAAAAAATATTGATATTCATAAATTTATTTTTTAAGGATAATTCTTTGTTTCGTGGTTGAAGATTTACTGGTGGCCCAGAGGCCTTTCCAGTTTCACCAGAACAGGTGGGCGAGCAAAGGCTCAGCAAGAAGGGGTGGCATTTGTTAACAGCTGCCCGAGCGCCTCCGAAGGAGACCTAACAACTCAAGAGCAGCTGCTTCGCGAATGAATCTACTGCCGGATCGGAATCGCGACCCGCTGAGAAGATCCGGCGAGAAACTCAGCGGGCTGATGCATGGGTTAGGTTGCACGTCGACCTCTTTGTCGAGTTCGACGAGTACGGTTACCGGGGTTCCTAAGCCTGCTCCTAGTGTTAGAGCTGAAGGTATCTATTGCAAGAGTTATTGGATCTGATGGATCCGTAAGGACGTGTCTAGAGCAACGACGGTGACTTGCTCCTGCGTGATCAGGATTCGGGAGAAAAATTCTATAGTCGCCTTACGTGTTCCTCGAAAAGGTTTTTCAATCAAAGCAATTTTAAAACAAAGGTCAATGCTACATGGTACATTGGTTAGGTGGAATATATGAAACATACACATAAGCGAATTTAGAACCGGAGAAACAAGAATACTAATTAATAAAACTAATTTACGTACTGCCTTAAAGCCGGTAACCAGTGGCTTGGCTTTGCCCCTGTCATAGGTGACGTCCATTATGACCATCATACCCAATCCTGTAGACCGAATAGTAAACAGTCGACGTCGCCCAAAACACGTCATTACGGATCCTCCCGATCCATTAAAGGTGCTTTTAGGTACCACAAGCATCGTTCACCGTTCTCGTGGAACCCGTCGCTTGCGACGAAGGGCTCGACGAGTGAATTAACCCATAGACACAGCACACTGAGTTTCTCGCCGGACCTACTTCTCAGTGGGTCGCGTTTCCGATCTGATGGTAGATTCTGCGAAGCACTGCTCTTGCCAGGGCCAGTGTTAGCAACATTCCGGTTTGAGCCCCGTGAGCTCACCTACACGTTAAGGTGAAGCTGAAATTACCACTTACCATCAGATGAATCGTATTGTCGTCTACCTACAATTGCAAAAAATAGCTATAAGCTAATGCAGTGAATCCAGGCTAACGATATCATATGAATTTCCTGTTGTTAACATAACCTACAAACATGTCTCATACGTCTTGCACTGGTGGTAGGGCAATTTGGTAGGTACCACAGCCATGCCTATTTCGACCGTGAAGCAGTATTGCGTTTCGGTTTGAAGGGTGGGGCAGCCCTTGTAATTATACTGAGACTTTAGAACTCATATCTCAAGGTGGGTGGCGGCATTTACGTTGTAGATGTCTATGGGCTCCGGTGATCACTTAGCATGGCGCGGGCCGAAAGCTCGTCGAGCCATCTTAACAAAAAATAAAAATTTTATGCGATACTAAATACTGTTTTTTGTTAGCGTCAGGTTAATAGTTAGTGTTAGTTTTTATAGCTTAAATGGTTAAACATACTCACGGGTGTTAAGTGGTCACCAGATATAGACATCAGAATATTCCACCCACCTCGAGACACCAGAATATATAGACATCACAAAACGAGTTCTTTCACCCATCTACAAATTGAATCCTCAACTGAATCGTAGGCTTTCCTACTCTTCAAACTAGAGTTTCAATATTCCAGCTTTTTTTTATGATTGAAGGATAACTGGTGACTCGGAGGCCTTTCCAGTTTCACCAGGACAAGAATATTCCAGGTCGTATGTGATGTATATATGGATTTGCTTAGGTTGAAAGCTTGTTGACGCTGTTTATTAACCAAGAACGTTTATTCCGAATTCATCACGGAACATTCAACAAAAAATAAAATGGCGATTAACTTGAAAAATAATTGTTTTTGAAGTGAAAACTTCTTTAGAATCGTTGTGATTTCAAACCGGATGCAACGGAAAAAACGACAGGTAAGAGACACAAATACAAAAATGTGTAGGATGAAGCCAGCAAAGAATGAGACAGAAATATACATACTATTTAATACAGCGCCATCTGTGAGATTTTTTAATACTAACGTGTGTATGAAAGCTCTTGTAGTGAATTTNGATAATGTTTTGGAGATTTGTGACTTTATTACTAGGTGCCATAGTTGTTATTAGTTTGAACGTAAAAGTGTTTCAAAACTTTTTTCTCCGTTTGTTAGTAAACGAATGTAGCTATATAAGTATATATTCACGCGGACAGTTTTTGCTTTAATTTTGTACGTATCCCTTTATCTAGTTACTATTGTTGATCGAAGATATTCATAGATTTATTTTTTAAGAAAAATTCTTGTTTTTTGTGATTGAGATTTACTAGTGGCCCGGAGGCATTTCCAGTTTCACCAGAACAGGTGGGCGAGCAAAGGCTCAGCAAGAAGGGGTGGCATTTGTTAACAGCTGCCCGAGCGCCGCCTACTCAAGAGCAGCTGCTTCGCGAATGAATCTACTGCCGGATCGGAATCGCGACCCGCTGAGAAGATCCGGCGAGAAACTCAGCGAGCTGATGCATGGGTTAGGTTGCACGTCGACCTCTTTGTCGAGTTCGACGAGTACGGTTACCGGGGTCCCTCAGCCTGCTCCTAGTGTTAGAGCTGAAGGTATCTAATGCAAGAGTTATTGGATCTGATGGATCCGTAAGGACGTGT